GGGACCCACTTCTCCTCACCTTGCTTAAATCCTTGGCTGTGGAGCTGTCGTCCTCCCGGCAAGGCATGCGATGAACAAATGCCAGCATTTGATATTTGGCTCTTATAAACTCGGATTTGTTTGGGCTTTAGGACAACATGAAACATATTCAAACAGAAAGAAAGAGGCCGTTAGTGAGTCAGTGGAACAAACTAAAGATGGAAGTTCAACAATCATTTATTTGGGTTATTTAATTAACATCTTCACAACAATAAAAACTCACTGCAGTTTGTCCTGAGGGTTGGCCTTGCGTTTCCCACTCATCAAAGAGGCCGGGTCCAGAAGAGAGTGCTCCCATATTGAATTGGCACCATTGCCGTATAATGTCTGAACCATCTAGGATGAAATGTAGAAGGAACCTGTATAATATATCCCAATGATTTATACTGCAGAAGGCTGACTGGCCTTTAACAGTTCACTTCCCGAACAAACCCTTTCTATATTTGGACACAATCAATAAACCCCAGTGGGATCTGATGTACAACAGATTGTGAGCAAAGATAGAGGTCTGATGAATTTCAAACCACAGTCAAAGGATAACAGGATCTCAAGGCATGGTAGGAGAAGGGAATCGGCCTCAAAGCACTCATGAGCACGCTGTGAAAGTCCTAAAGATATGTAGGTTCGCACAGGTGAATATTAATATCTATTTCTAATGAATTAAATAATGACCTGTAGCTGTGTAGAAGGCCATGGTGTGTGTGTCAGGTGGCGGACTTGCGAGCTGTGTCTTCCGAGACTCCGATGAACGCTGCAGCACTCGTCACAAATGAACACCCCTCTGTTCACCGAGGCCCAGCGAGGCTCTGAGAGGGAAGAGACAAGAGGGAAAATCACACCTTCTGCAATCTAATTGATTCTTTGCTAATTAAAGGAGGGGCTTTAGGGTACAATATGGGATCCTTCAGTTCTAACAGGTTTGATCTGCTCTAGCTTTAATTGTAGGTAGTCTTAGATGAGTTATAAATGTATCGTAGGAAATGTCCTCTCTTCACATTCAGTACCGTTATTCAAATAACCGACATGCTAGGTTGTAGCACTTCTCCTTTTCTGTTCCTCACTGACTGCACTCAGAGAAACTCATAGTGTCAAAACAATGAGAGACACATGCATAAAGGATAAAGCCAGGAACAAAAGACCAAATCCAAAACGTAAAAGATCCTTCTAACAAGTATTGTCCGTGTAGCCAAAGCCTGAGACAACTTATTGTGCGACCCACACTTGTGTACTATCAATAGATACTTTTGGGTAAAGTTCCTTGAAATAGTCAGGATGTCAACAAAACTGTTTTATTTTATGGATGAAAATAGTCTCAAATTTTATTTTACATTATTATATTATAATATTATTATTATTATTATTATTATTATTATTATTATTATATTTTACTTCTTCATCAGCAACATGTGCCGTAATCTACTGGGACCGGCTCTTTAAGACCTTAGGTAGGTCTTTAATATTGAAATTTCATATTGTTTTAGAATATTATTTGTATTTATATATTTTTTTTTATTATGTTTTTTGGTTTTGAATTCATTTTGATTGAATTGGCCTGGTGCTGAGTGTCAGAGGCAAGAAAGCAAATGCAATCATTCCTGAGAGTCAATAGTTGCTCTGGTTTTGACTTCCCTAATTTCTACTAATATATAAGAAGAACAGTTAACACTACATAGGGCACCAATACTACAGACAGTCAAACACGGGTTAGAACATGGTAACACTTTGACTTGAGAAGGTTTTAACATACAGACACAAACACATTCTAATAACTACAAGAATAAGAGTGCAACCCCCAGCTGGCTACAAGAGACATTTAAAGCCTGTTTAACCCCAGCCTTAGGTGAAGCCATGCATTGTGTAACGAGGAAGTGACTAGCAGTTGTAGGTTGAAGCACCTCGACCTAAATGTTAAGTAAGAGAGCAGCTTCCTCCTTCAAAACAAAAACACACAAATGCTATCAATACTTTTGGTGCTGTAAATTCTGTAAATGCATAGTTAGAGAAATATAAACATAGTATATACAAGATACAGTATACTGTGCGACTGAAATAAATATGTTTAGTTAACCTTGACCTATTTATTACACTTCACAAATGCCACATAGTTGTGCCGTCTGCAATTTATACAGATACTCCTCTGACAGCGAACATCTGAAGACCAAAAATACTGTAAATTCATACGATACTCAGACAGCCTGTTAAGCAGATTGAGTGGCTGGCACTGGGACAAGACAGTGAAGTATGTGAGTGTGTGAGCAGCAGCAGCTGAGGTGTAGGAGGAACAGCTGCAGGGGTTTTGGTCAGAAACTGGCACCTGGTCCCCAGTGTTCAGACTATCCTCCTCCTTACTCTCAGACCAAGACCTGGGAGTTGGGGCTGACATGCCTCTTTTACCCTTTCCTCAACAAGTGCTGCTAAATTTAATATCACATCTTGAAACTCTAAAAATATTCTCAGCCAACAACTGGTAGCAGCCGTATGGAGGGGCAATCCAGGCCAGCTGCTGTGAAGACCTGCTGGGTTTAACTAGTCTGAGTGACATGATGATGGACAAGGTACTGAAACTTGAGTATTGCTACATTTTAAGCACATTTGTTGTTTTTCTTGTGAAATATTAAAGTACCCAACATAAAAGTTCTAAAACTAATTCTCAGCCTACTGTTATTGTAAATCCTAATTGCAATGTATTGTGGTTAGACAATAGAAAAAAATTGTCTGCATCGAAAGCACGCAGTCAATTCACTCAGCATCCTGTTTTGCTTCCTGTGCCTGCCGAAAACATCACGTCATTTCATTATAACTGGGACTCTTGAAGGTTCCTCACACACAATGCAACTATAACTTGTTCAGCTTACAAACAGTATGTTTGACTGTAAGGGCTTGATTCAAATGTCTCCAATGGCTAATACTATTGCCATAATGTCACAAACACAGGTTAAGCTCTCTTCATCTTAAATAATGAATCCCCTGACAATAACTACAGATACCAGAGTGCAGTGATTGTTTCAATGTGACTAACATTTTGGAGGTGGAATAAGGAATTTCTTTTTTTTGGGAGGGGCTTTTAGGGGGGGCCATATCTTTTCACACATTTTTTTTTTTAAGAAAAACTCACCCTGAAAGGAGAGCACTGTACCCATTGACTTTCAATTATTTCAATCATCCTAGTGATAGATACAGAGCAGTTTCCTGCTTATGTAGGATCAGATGTTATAATGGATGATTACATTTCCAATTAAATGGAGACTTTTGCATGCCACAGACATTATTTAATAATTTTCCTTTGACGAAACAACTGTGCAATTACATTGACATGCATCAAAAATGTCAGCCTGATTATTGAAAGCAAGTAACACCGGATGGAAACAGTTAAAACAGACAGCTGCTTCAGGTCTAATTGCATCCCCAGCCAGGGACCTGTCAACAGTACTAAGAACTTGTCCCCTCAAAACACTGCATATGTTGGAAAGTAGTTATAATCTGATGTAAAGTGCAGTGCAAGGCTCTGGCTTAAGGTTACTTGGTAATTAATAAATAACGGGTAAAGCTTCAGGGATGGGGTGAATTGTCTTACCTGGAACACTGCAATCAGCGCAGAGCTCAGTGTTTCGTATGCGTTTAGACATCCTTTGCTCAGCAACAAACCTCCTTTGAAACAGAGTATTATCTCCGATGCGTTTGGCTAACCATTGATCACTCTTGGGGGGATGCCTTCCGTGTTAGCTAGCTAATTAAAAACAACCCCAAACAACGACCTGCTACTTCATTTAACTGTTGCTAACCGTTTCGCTTTGTCCAGCGTCTGAGTTACAACCATTATAACGTTACCTATCGAGAATAAGGTACAATGTTACTTGTTTGCAAAGTAGGCTGACTTAGCGCCTGATTAGCGAACTCGCCTGTCCCCGTTTGGTAGTTTACTCTTCAGTCGGTCTCTGGTAGACAGCAGGACTACAAATGAAGGACTACAGATGAAGGACTACAGATCTCTAGCGTTCCCAGTGGCAGCTGCTAATGTTGTATGATAGTGTGCCCAGAGTCAGGTCTCCCAGGAAACAAACGTCTTCCCGGAAATAACGCCTCCTGGACTATTTTGCCTGGGAAAGTATAACATAATTGTGGACCTGATTTCTTTAGAAATACCGTTAATAATTATACATAAATACAAATCATAATGCTTAGATGAATTTGCAGTGGCCTTTGGGCGGTACCGCTCGGTACACAACCTGATAGAAATAACTGAGGGCAAAAATACAAGTCAGAGTAGGTGAGTTTGATCTATGCACCTTCGTGACACGGTACAAAAAGAGTAATTTTAAAAACATAAAATAGGGTGACTCCTATTGGATATATATATTTAATGGAGGTCATCTTTTGGAGCACAATTCGCATAATATATCACCATATTTATTTTTACTTAATAATAACTTTATTTCTAAAACATGTACAGCATTTCACAACTGAGTTCAGCCAGGATGGATCACAATTGTGTGGTTGTGTTAAAAAAATATGTATCCGCAGAAAAGTTAGTAACTACTTAATATGCATACGTTAATAGAGCAACTGCATCAGGTTTTATGAATAACCTGTGGTTAATATAGTGTAAAACCTCAAAGGGTCGATATGCACATCCATCACACCGTGGTACGCTGGCGGTGAAGTGTTTCAACCTCCCCGACACGTATAAGCGCCGATCTCATTTCTAAATAATAGGTGAGCTCATTCAAGCTATTGTCTGGGAATAGCTTTATCTATGTTTATTTGGTTAATTCTCTCAAGTATAAATGCTTTGAAATTCAAAAATGTAGCATCTTAAAGGCTTAAAAGTTTGACACGGGACGTTTATAGGATTATTACGTTTAGTTAGTCCTATTGTATCCCCCATTCAGAGACCCTTAATGGTTTCGTCCGAGTGGGCCTGACTATTTTTCTTTTTATCCTAAAGGCGATGGTTTTATTTACAAACCTTGTTTCTCTCGTTTGTTTACCAAAGAAATAATTGCTATTACATATGCATTAATTTCCATTGTTAAGGGTAAGGACTGCGGTCTTAATTGGATTGTATTGTTTAGCTTGTGAGTCTATTTCTTTGTAGGACACCCCTGTCATTATTGGGAACAGCTCCTGGCACTTCCTTGTTCAAAAGTTTTATTTTAGGGGAAGGCTTGGTGAAAAGTTGGACACCGGTTTAGATATTTCGACGTCAAATATTGAGGGCATGGATCATATTAATTGTACTTGTTGGCATGACTAGCGTGTAGCTATCGCGGTTTTCCCATGGCTGTGATTGTTAGAAGCGGGCTAGCGTTTCACTGAGCGGCTCCATAAAGAGAAAGATGTCCACGGCTAACGAAGAGATCCGAGAGAGGTTCCCCCTGCACTCAGCCGTGTGGGAGAATGACTACAGGACACTGGAGGAACACATTACTTTACCACAGGTTGGTTAAAACACGGAGTATGTTTAAAAGCTTAACACAAATGCATGCTAGCTAGAAAAGGCCAGGAGTTAGCTGTTAACACATCCGTAGCCTTTCAGTCAAAGTAGGCCAGTCGTGTTGACAGATGCTCTAATGTGCCACACAGATAGCGCTTGAAATGTCTATGATGACATTTCTATTTACAGATCAACAAAGTTTACTTTCAAATATATATATATATTCCACTACACACATTTAGATGTATATACATTTAACCTATCTGTATGTACCAGACCTGTTTAGATTTTAACTAATGTCATGTCTGTTATTTATATTCATACTATTATTACATGTTTATTCTTGTTTTATTTTTTTATTCGTATTATCCTATGTGTATTATCTGTGTTCCTGGCTTGTTCTGTTGTTGCTATGACACCAGAATTTCCCTATGGCTATTGGGTATTAATAAAGTCCATCTTGTCTTATCTTACGCATTAAAAAGCCTGTTTCCCGGGTTGTATATTGTTCTTTTTTAATACTTTAAAATGTACAGTATTAAAGTGTAAATCCCGAACAACCCTTTGAACATATTGCACATTTCTGCTCCACACTATCTCTATTTAAATCTGCACAGTTCTCAACTTTGAATATAGTATTTGTCCTATTTTGTTATATTTTAATGTACTCAGTTTCTTACATAATTAATATTTTGTGTTAACGTTAGATATGATAACATATAGCTTTGTTGTTGTGTATTATGTATTGCCACCTTCTCAGCTTCATTCTTGTCAAACATCTAATATATAAAGTTACCCCTAGGTATTAATATTTTAATAAAAATTATCTCTCCTCTCCTCTCGGTATAGTATTGTATATTGGTGGAATATCATTATTGTGATCCAATCCGTATAACTTTTAATACCCAACAATGCTAATCAATAACACATTTAGCTCATGACTCAATATGCAGTCTTATCAGCATGTGTTAATGCTGCTGGATTGTCGAACCAGGTTTAGAGTTCATTACACAAATATGGATATAGAACAAGCTAATATGTTGGTCTCTTTTTGATTTTTCTCAGAATGACACTGAGGCTGTGGATCCCAGAGGTCGGACCCCTCTCCACCTGGCTGTGTCGCTGGGGCACCTGGAGTCAGTGAGAGTCCTTCTGAGACATGGTGCTGAAGTGACTAAAGAAAACAGCATGAATTGGACAGGTTAGTCCCACAACTGAACTGGCTGCATAATAGATTATACAGTAAGAGTGTAGCATGAAAGCGTGATGTGAGGCCATGCATGTTTCGTTCACTTGTCTTGCAGAAATGCTTTTTAGGGGATTTACGGCTTGTTTGATCACTTCAAGCCCTCATCACATTAACCTACAAAGCATCTGCTGTTAATGGGGTTTCTTGTACAAATCCATATCCACTCCTCTAACTGCATTGAAACAGTTTCACTTTCCCTTGCTTTTACTGTAATTGTGGCTGAGGTTTTCTAATGGGTGTGTGTTGCTCCCAGGGAACAGATGCTGTTATCTTAAAAGGTTTAGTGGTTTGTTTATAATTGTCTGTCTCTCTGTGTAGCTCTGCAGGAGGCAGTCAGCACCGGAGACCCAGAGATGGTTCAGTTAGTGCTGCAACGCAGAGACTACCTCAAAGCCTCCACTGCTCTGGGAGGAGTGCCTGAGCTGCTGGCAAAGATCAGAGAGGTCTTACTTCATTTTTACAGTTCTCTTGTCAGCTTTCTCTCATAAGTGTTCCTGGAAACATTTCCTACTGCATTCATTAATTTCACTGTCTTTATTTTCATCTACAGTCTCCAGACTTCTATATGGAAATGAAGTGGGAGTTCAACAGTTGGAGTAAGTTATTTTATGTCTATGTGTGGCTATATATCATTAAAGTAAAGTGTATACTGTGTGTACAGAGTAGTATTTTCCTGCAGTACATGCTAGTTATCATCAATCAACTATTCAAGAGAGGAAAGTATCTCTACATAATCTTTGCCTGTGCAGAGGTGATATCAGGTCATACAGGAAATACCACATATCTGCGCATTTGTCATGGTAGCATTTGTTTTGGTTTATTAATGATTGATAACGTTTTTCATGTGTGAGACATTCATTTGCTGTTGCTTCACAGTCCCTCTTCTGTCCCGGGTTTGTCCAAGTGATGTTTGTCGCATTTGGAAAAGTGGCGCCAGCCTGAGAGTGGATGCCACTCTTCTGGGCTTTGAAAACATGACTTGGATCAGAGGGCGCAGGAGCTACATCTTCAGAGGAGATGGTTTGTGCTTTAAATCGCCTGCACTAAGAGAAGAGTTCTTATGATTTGTGCTATTTCAGTGATATCACTTATCCCTGAATGTATCTTTACAGATTCATATGCAGAGCTGATGGAGGTGAACCATGACGATGAGGTTGTGGACACTGAACGCTTCAACATATCTCAAGAAATCGAGGAAGTCACACTAGAGTCAATGCAGCCAGCTGAACAGGAAGTTGCCAAAAGGCTGACCACTCCTATTGTCAACACCTACTTGGACACCAAGGAAATGGCTTTTGAGAGGCAAGAGTCACATCTTTTTCTGTTGTCCTTTTTCTCATAACATGCATAGATCATACTTCCTTTGATCAGCCAAGAACAAACTCCACACTGACAGTTTTTCATAAGAGTTACCATGTCATGTGTGTTGTTACTGTGCAAGCAGTGTTACCATTTGACTTTCCAGTATCGAGCTTGCATCTAACTGTCTGATACGCATCATTCACACTTATCTGATCAAATCTTATCTGACATGAATTTTTTGTATCTTGTCTGACTTCACTTACACAAGTGAGGTAACCCTACAAAATAACAACTTCAACAAATATATATTATGAATGTGAGAAAATAATGTTAGTTACGAATAATAGGCCTTTCTTGAAGTTGACAATTGAGCTTAAACAGAGGTTTAAGTTGGGCATTAGTGAACCCTGAACTTAAAGTGGACCTATCATGCTATATTTGAATAATATATTGTAGGGCCATACCTATATATATATAAGGTATATTTATACGTTTTATTTTTCAAAATACCAAACAGATCATGCATTTGATCCATTCCTCATTTCGCTCAATTTAACACTGCCTTTCATGCTCGGATTCAGTGAGAACAGCACCATCTGGTGGCCTGAAATATGTACTACGGCGTCTCCAGCGCTTTCGAACGGCAATGTCCGTGGCTGTCTCCTCCTGATTGGTGGAGTTGGCCCAATAGCCGTAGCGCCACTTCTGTGACGTCACAGAAGTGTTAACATCTGGATCAGTCTGTATCAGATCCGTTGCAGCCCCTTTTTAAGAGATTTGGGTATGGAGGAAAAGAGAGAGGGTTGTGTTTTCTGACTCTTGGTGAGTTCCCTGACACACCGGGGACACATGTTCATGTATAAAAGACGTACAAAAGTGCATTTTGTATGATAGGTCACCTTTAAGATTTGTGTAGCAATCACAATGAATTCTGCTTTTGCTTCACCGCACTCACCCCGCTGTGGGATGAGTTCCTGACCCTAAATGTTAGCACTGCTGAAAATGTTGTTCCAACTCCAAGTTCATCAAGAAACAACAGCT